ACCTCATTCGAGCCCTCTGCGCAAAAACCGATATTTTCAATCGATATCGATCGATAGCATGTGACCCGATAGAATTTCGACTTTACCACAGCCCCCAATCAACACTGTAATTCCCAACCTCATTCGAGCCCTCTGCGCAAAAACCGATATTTTCAATCGATATCGATCGATAGCATGTGACCCGATAGAATTTCGACTTTACCACAGCCCCCAATCAATACTGTGATTCCCAACCTCATTCGAGCCCTCTGCGCAAAAACCGATATTTTCAATCGATATCGATCGATAGCATGTGACCCGATAGAATACCAACTTTACCACAGCCCCCAATCTGTACTGCAATTTCCAACCTCATTCGATCCCTCTGCGCAAAAATCGAAAAACCTTGTGTGTGTGTGTGTCTGACCGGAAATTCATAACTTCACCCCTTTGGACCCAGAGCGCTCAAACTTCTAGGATATATAGGGGGCCGGAGGTGAACACTGATGACGGGTGGCGGGAAGTGATAACTACTGATAGGAGCTGATAACGGACGTCGAAATGTTGATGTCACCAATTTCGTTACACCGTTCGCGTTGACGGTGGAGAGTTTGCACTCATGTATGATATGTGGGGTGAGGCGGGGACCAAGAAGTTGAGTGAACGAATGTGGTAGCAACTGATAAGAACTGATAAGGGGCGTCAAAGTGTGGATACCACCAGTTTCGTTGCGGCCCTTGCGGTTACATTGGAACCTTGGCTCTCACATGTGGTATAGGGGATGGGACGGGAACACGGATAGCGGATGATCAGAAGTGATAACAAGCGATAACGGTTGATAAGGAAGTTAGGATTTTGAGTACTGCTAATTTCGTTGCAGCCTTCGTGGTGACAGTAAATATTAGCTCCTACACGTTGCCTGGAGGTTGGGACCGGGACACCGATTGCGAACAGTATGAACTGATAACAAATGACAAGGAATGATAAGAGCGTTTGAATGCAGGTCTCTCCAACTTCGTTGCAATTATCACTGGCAAGCGATCAAGGTGGCGAGGGTTGAATGTAGGTGACAGAAAGTGGTATGAGCGGCAACTGTACTGATAAAAGTAGCGACAGTTGAGTGCACTCAATTGAATTAAACCAGGTCCCTAGCACGTGAATATGTTCCATTCCTACCCTTTCATCTAAAGAAGCAAAGAAAGTTGAGCTGCTCAACTTGGACCAATAGCGAATTTCCATTATATTTCCGAATTTCCATCATAGCTCGTTAGATGCTGATTGATTGGTTATATTTCACTTACACACCGATTCTTCAATTGTGGAAATTCTATAAACCGCTAAATCATCCGAGCTCGATATCAATGCTAAATGTTTACGAAGTCATGATAAGTACCATTTTCATTCCGCATGCTACTGCGCGCATTACGCGACAATCTTCAGCAAAATTGGACAGCCTTTGAAATTCATGTGAGACATATCTTCCAAACATCTTACTGTTAGTTTCTCAGCCGGAAACAATCAGTGTCCATTATACGAAGGAGTCTTTGGAAACGGTATAGTTGGTTTTACTTTTCAGATTGGTGGTGTTCCAATTCGTTGCATGGAGTGCTTGAGCCCAAGCACGTATGCGATCGGGTCAAACACGCCCTTGTTGTGGCCAAAGCTGAAGAGGGCTACGCAGTAATTATTGTGGCATCGTGATACTCACTTCTCTCCTCTTTATGAGCCGCTCTTTTGTATCCCTCTCAGGAACAAGGGAATAGTCGAAGCCACAAAAATTGCGCACTGACTATGCTCGCGCTTCAGTAGTGCGCATAAAGGATAATATCCTCTGCGAAGATTGATCTTGTAATGGAAACAGGACATCATCGGAACGGGAACCCTGGAAACCTCTTCACTCCATTTTATGCTATTTTTTGTTTTTGTTCTCGCAGACACACCATTTGAAAGCTCTACTTTCACTTCAATGAAACAAGCTTATCACATGTCCTGTCCCATTGCATGTAGCCGTGGACGACAGACTTCATGTTGTGGAAAAGCGGGAGCACCTGGGCTGAGAAACTTGAAGCTTAACGACTACCATTTTAGAGAGCGCAGCTTCTGCTGATGTGAAATTGCCACGAATACACGCTCACTGGGAGTTTGAAGAGCAAAATGGGAATACCGTTACAGCTCCCGTTTCTCTACAGTTCTACTCTAGTAAACACCGGACACAGTAAAGGACTCAAGTTTATTGTCTACTAGACAGAATACCAGAATACAGTCTACTGGAGTAATGTGGATGAAGATAGCAGGCGACGGTGGAAGGCTCGACGGCTGGACCCGAGGCTGGCGAGGCTGGTGGAGATAAGCCGTTTGGACAGAGCGAGCACCTGAAGTAAGGCGTGAATTATATTGTTCTGCTGTAGTCACGTACAATGCGCGACGCATTGACGCGTTAAAACGTGTGCTCGCCCTCGTTTTCTCTGCGCTCTCAACGAAGAGAGAACGCGTCGAGCAAACTCGCCAACTGTACTAAGCGCCGTTCATATAGGAGGTGGAGGATGGACACACGCTCGCGCGCGGCGCTCAGGCTCCCCGCCCGCGCGTACGCTGCGACGCTCGACCATTTTTGGATTGCTGCCCTGGACCGAAGGGGTAGCGTCGTTGTTGGCATGACCTTCAGAATGGCTACCGCAGAAAGCGCGTCGCTGCGAGCGCAATGTACGTGATTGCGGCAGGAACGTCGTAATTCACGCCTTACTTCAGGTGCTCGCTCTGTCCAAACGGCTTATTTCTGCTGGTGAGGTTTCTGAGACCGTACTGAGTGACCATTCGACTCCACCCTCCCTCGTTCGGTGCTTATCTCCGCAATCTGAAAGCTTCAACATTAGCGGCGTACTGTAACGTGATTCATGCCTTTTCCCTTTGACCTTTTAAACTCAGCCTAGACCCTTACAATACTTGAGCTGTAAAAAGTTGCGATGATTACTGTGAAAACAAATGGGCTGGAGCCGTAAAGTAGCCAAAGACGACATGGGCACATAGAATTCTCATAGACGGGTTCTATGGCACTCACACTCCTCTTTTCCCATCTCGTTGCCCATTGTTAGAAATTTCATGTCCGCAAGTTATAACGCGTGGTTACATTAAAGTTTAAAGTTATAACTTACAAAGCGTGCCAATAACTCCCAACTGTCATGTTTGAAAAGGATATTTCAAAGGGGCATAACTTTGTTGGAAGTATAAAATTTCTATTTATTCGGATGGATTTTGAAATGTGCATAACGCTCGATTCCCAGAAAGGGCTCAGGTTGCTTCTGTTACGAAGCGGGAAATCTGATTTCCAAGGCGCACCTCCATTTTTGAAAGGTCATACCACCTTTCAATACTACTGTCCCCAAGAATTAAAAGGACGGAAACGTCAAATATTTCTCTACCAGGAAAGTATCAAAAGTTTCGGTATTGACCACTGATTGACCCTTTTCTGAAAAATCTTTTGTTTGCACTTGCCGTGCGAATGCGGGCTATTGGGCTTCAGGGAGCAGAACGTTCTTTTTTTTCACTTCTCTGACAAACCTTTGGTTTGGTGAGATAGCACAGGATCTGGGCTCCTCAATGAGCACCGTTTCCTAATTTTCATTTTCCGAAAAAATCTTACGTCAGCACTTTTCGGGGCTTTGGCGGTCAATTTTTCTGCGAAGGCGAGCTTCCACTAAGGATAACTTTCTTCGTTTATATTAGTGTGGCGTTCTTTCCTTGTAGGAAGAAATCGGCGCACTCGTGCTTTCCCACACTCTTGAAGTGTTTTTAGTTACCTTCTTTGCGCTTTTCCTAGGTTTTTGCGTGTAACTTTGGCTTGTGAGTTTCAAATTTACAGCTTCCTACAAATCACCTGCTGTGCTGACTCTTGTAAAACTTCTATTTTCAGCTTCGATAAATGGTCAATCCTTCCATATCACTGCATTTTGATGCTCGTTTGGTCCAAATACACCAAAGTTCGTTCTCTCACTCCCACTGACCAGTGAGGCTTTGGCTGCGGGTCGTTGTTATCGCCCCCAGTCCATGAGGCCGATGTCAGACTTTGCGAATCGCGCGATTCGCAAAGTGTGACATCTGACCTTCTAGGGTGAGAACTTCCCATCTACGAGTTTCCCGTCTTGTGGCCGTATGGACTCTGCCACACTTCACCTTCTATAGCAGAGGTGCTCCGTGAACTTAGGCCTTGTAGTACAGCGCCAAGAGAACGACAAAGGAGTGGTCAAAAACGTGTCACATTGCGCAGCAGCGCCGTAGGTTACAGTGGAACCACTTTGACATACTGAAGAATTGTTTTACTACTGGATGTGAAACCTTGAAGCCACAGAACCTCTGAAACTCGAAGAAGGCCGCATTGCCACAAAGTACTGGGAACTGTTCGCAAACCGGTGTGCATACCCGGTGATGCACACGGAACACAATGCTTCGAATACAGTTATCATCAGCCAGTCCTTCTTACAAATATTCATTCGCAGCATGTACACATAAAAATATATAAAAACATCTTTCTCTTTTTCACTGTGTGTTTGTAGTGTCTCTCTGTGCGGGTTGAATTAATGAATTGAAAAATGTACAAAATGACGTCATATAGAATGTATATGTATGCATGAGCTAAAGATGTAGACTAGTTTCGTCGATGATAATCGATAATCGATTAGTTCATTTGTGAGTGCTGTGTGGCAAAGGCAGTGATTTGACATACGGTAGGTGCGCGTGTGATTGCACAAAATGCACATGGAACAAAGTGCAGTGAGCGGACTATATGGATGATAATAAAAAAAGGCACTTTAGCGATCAACCAGCATAATGAAAAACTGAATATTATGCGTGACAGTAATCTAGGACAACTATCAAAAATCAATAAGCAGAGACGAGTAGCGAGAAGACGTGATCGACTGAAAGGATTTGGAGTGGTCAAGGACGCGCATGTGACATGTCGCGCGACAGGAATTGAGCGTTTATAGTGGCGGCGACTTCGGCGGCTTCTGGACGAGAGAGAGAGGTTAGAAGTTGGACCACATTGGCTTGCGAACCCAGCGAAGGCGAAGACCAGAATTGGTCTTGATTTTGATACTGGCCGCTTCAGCGGCTCGAACTGTGTCCTTGACCGCCAGCATGAGGTTCTGCGCATTGTGCGCCAACTGCTCCATGGCTTCGATGTCCTCTTCACTGCCTGCAAGAGAAATACGGTAGAAAGATTACTGTAGTGATTAATAATTGAGTTCATGCCGTTGTGTTCACCACAAAACTCTGTTAAGAAAAAGGTAAAGAACTATGAAAACAGGCTACAAGAGCAAGGCTTTTTCCTCTCTTTCAATTGGGTGATTTTTCACCGTGAAGAAACGCGCATTACTCGACAACTCGTGCATTTCAGGGAACGCTTAAGTGTACGGTTAGAAAACGGTCAACCCAGAATGTATTCAGGATGAAATGCAACATACGGGGACATCTTTAGAACAAAGCCTAAGAAGGATGATGTCCAAAGATTGTGGAAACTGATCATGCACCTTGTAGTCTCTTCTCTCCAGCCCAAATCTCAACCCCTTTCAACAAAAAAGAGGATGTCCAAGGCCGATGTAAGACCTTGCGAATCGCGCGATTCGCTAGCGTCTGCGGTCGCGTCGCGGCCAGTGAATCACTCAATTGGCTGGTACCGCAACGCGACCGCGGACGCTAGCGAATCGCGCGATTCGCAAAGTCTGACATCGGCCTAACGCGGTCCTGAATGGGCTGCCACCACAATGCCCCGTATCTTGCGATAGCGCAGACACTAATAAGGAAATTATGTGACTACCTTTGAATTTCATAATAACAAGAGTACTAACGCAACTAGTGGGCAGAAGAGCGCACTATCACAAAGCGGTTGGTTCCATGGGATTGCTGATACCTGCATGATATCAAGCAAAATTTCTAAAGGCAGTGGCTGATGCTGGAGGGCGGTACGATTTTGACGAAGCTGCTGAACGTCATTGGTCCAAGTGCGTTAGGAAGTGGTCCCAACCGACCACCCCCCCCCCCTGTGCGCTCAGCTACTCCACCATGACATGTAAGGACGTCACGTCACGATCTGACGTCACGTCGATGTCAGATCGCACCACCCTCCAGCCATTATGATACGACAGCTTGTGAGCAGCTTTCGGGACCGCGCATTACTTAACCCTTTGGCTACCAGTGGCTGCATTATGTACAACAACAGCGCGATACGTATACCACTGGTAGTTGAATGGGTTTAACAAAAGGTTGAGCAGTTCGCCCCCAGCGACATGCAGTGTAAGGTAGGTGACAGACTCTGCGTGCCAATCGCTAACAGGTCGCGCAATTCGCTAGCGATTCGAGCATTTCATAGCATTCGATATCCTCGAGGTAGACAACTGTCCCTAGAGGACCAGCTCGTTCCCGATTTCCCAAATTAAGACCGTGGGTGTAGAACTTATTCAGGAAACCAGACACTAACTGACTTTTCGGGGATATGCACAGGCTCCTCTGTGCAATTGGGCACAAAGAATCGCACGAAATGCTGGCAAATCGCACGATTCCAAAGCGATTGGTCACAAAGCTGGAACCCTCCTAAAAAGCCCGGTGCAGGTATGAAGCCGCATATTTGCTCAGGAGAGTACTCCAAAGTGGCTATGACAAAGCACTTAACACTGCTCATTTCCATTTCGTGGAGTAATCTGGACAGGCAGGCGAGCGGTCACAAAGCGGGTAGCTTCGCTTCACGTCTTTCAAAACTAACTAGCCTTCACTACGATTTATCACGTGCTCTCCTTCGTGAGCAGTTAGATATTACCAAATCGATCGCACATGGTTGCAGACGCGCTGCGACCGTGCGCGACAGCGGCCTGTAAATCTCGTGGCCACCCGTACTGGCGGAGCTGCCTGCATCTTTCGTTGTTTCCTGATGAATGTTGATCGGCAGAGAGATTTTTTTACACTACCGGTGAGGGGGAGGGGGAAGAAACGGGAACCTGTGTGCACTAAAAACGTTTTTACAAGAGCTTGTAGTGAGTGGGTTCTCTAAGTAAACATTCTTTACCTCGCACTCGATCACGTGCCCGAAAAACAAGCCCATGTGGCAGAAATCACGCAAATAAGTTCACTTGGTCTAGAAGGGGAACTGGCCAAATCTGACCAATTTTGGACACAAACTGTTATTCACTCTTGAAATAGTATCACACTCGGAATCGCACTCGTTTTGTTAGTGAGAATTAAATTGCAGAACACATGCTTGGTTCATGAGGAAAGAAATCGTCAATTACCGTCAACTTGTTCTCCATACGGTCCAATCGTCACTGGAAATATGATAGTGGAATCGATATCAATCGATAACCATTTTTTTCGAAATTGAATTCTGGCGGTTCTTAGCTGCCAACGTGGTGACCCTTACTTTTTACACAGCGTCCTTTATACGCTATAAAGCTTAACTACGGTAGCGATTGCGACTACCGAGTTACTCGATTGGCCTCAGCGCCATAGTGCCAGCCAGTAACTTCAATTACTCTTCCTAATGAGTCCTAATAAGTCCTTCGTACATTTTACAAATATTTAGTGATCTTGTATTTTTCCTGTCCGGAGTTTTTATTCACATCACGTAACCAGTTGGGTCGCCTAACTGGTCAACTTCGCTTGAGGATTACGCTTATTCAGCACGCCTCTCGCTCCGCCGGCTTTCACTTCGGCACTCTGCCCCGCGCGAGCCGTCTGTGCTCTCCACGCCTTTATTCTCTCTTGACACTATTCTCACACAGTATGGAGCAATGTTTGAAGATTTCGTCGACCGCTGCTCACCCTCTCATTCACCGATGAGGTTCAATGACGTGACACCGCAACCCCCCCTCCGGCGCATCGTGATGGCCCCCCCCCCCAACCTTGCCCCTTTTTTTTTTAAAAAGTTAGGCCAGCAGTGATTGCATAAAACAACCACAAGGCTTTCACATTGTACCGCTGCTAGTCTGATGTCCACACTTACTTTTCTTAGTGCACGGGATAAGCTGGCTAAAACTTGAAATAGCCTTCTTTGGGAATGGACTTAGGCAGGAGCAGTCTCGGGGAAACCAACCGAACCTATAGAAAAAATGGACATATTGCTAGATACGGAGAAGCAACCAGAACGGGCGAAACCACAGCAGGCCCTGCCCATAAATCCCAAATCTAATTTCACCCACAATTTCACCATCTCTTTCTGATTTCAACCAAAATTCAATAAATCCTCGCCATTTCTAATTGGTCGTAGGGTGTAGAATAGTCGAGTTCAGCTGAGGTGAGGCCACGGTCACGAAATCCATTTGGAGAAGGTCCGTATATTGCCCTTCTAAAAAAAAAAGGGTCCGTAAAGTGATTTGTTCGTCGGGGACAATGAGGTTGGGTGCGGTGCAAGAAAAAGGGAGAAGTATCAATATTTCCTCGTACACACTGCACTCACCCCTATCCTTCCTCCATTCCCCCGCTCGACGGTAATTTTGGAAGGAAAAGTGGGCGGAGTTGGGCTTGTGTCGACTGATCTCAGAATCAATACTATAGAATCGGTCCCCACCCCCGGCAGGCGAGGGTGGTGGAGGATGGTCGTGAGGAGTTGGCCCTAGGAGGGGGTCGTCTCGTAAGTATTTACGAAATGCGATCCAAACGTGACGGTTGCGCCGCCTCCTGGGAATTTGGCCCGCTTGAGAGGCGAAGTGCGTCATGTGGTAGCCCGATCCATCAGCTTTTCCAAACCAATTGCTTTGACATTGAAGGAAGAGATTCGGGAAGAGGGGAGATGAAAAGAGGGTCCGTATTTCTGAGCAAAGAGGATCCTAATAGTTTAGATTTTCTCACCATAGCTCAACATGGTGTACACCCTCACATCCCCACAACTGGTCATTTACAGGCCACTTACGCATCAAAACGCTACTGCATTTCTGAATGGATGCCACATACGTGGCGCGTACCGAAGGGGGTCAGAGTGTAGGGATCAAGGTGGCTGGAAGCTTCAAGCTCACCGCTGTCGTATGTGTTTACGACAGCCGTAAGCTTGACACAGACAGGCTTTTAGCGCTATTTTTGCCTGGAAAAATAGGGCCTCTTCGAGAACCATGGAAAAGTTGGCCAGCTACCCTGTCTCCCTTTCAAACAGCGCCAAATCTGCCGATCAAGCCCTACCTTACCCCTTCTAAATTGCCAATACGGTAAATGTGGCCCGGCAACTACTTTTTACTCCGACAACCGCCAGCGCTATTGAGCTGACGATCTTTGACTGGTCGATATTGGGGTCCTATGCCGTCGTCTGTTTGCACAGCACGTGTGCAATTACGTACATCCTGCGAAGAGTCAAGAAACAAACGCTAGCGTCTACTCAAACAGAATGAAGAGTACAAAGAATGCGGAAATTCTGTAGGTTGCAACTAATCGATAAGAATCGATATCACTTACTTGAAGTGCCGAACATTGTTGATTTGACCGTGGAGCACACTTTGAGCTGAGTGGCTATCGTTGGAATACGTTCGGCCATTTGAAGGAGAGCCTGAAATACGGTAACTAATGAAACTACTGTAATCAGTAAGGCGTTTCCCAGGGGACACTCTGCATCTCTAACACTAGGTGATGTCTGCGTCTCTCACAAGCGGAATGGGCACAGTTGGCAGGAAATCATCGCGAAAAGCGCACAACACTGGTCACGGAAACACTTCAAAATTCGACAAGTACAACAGAATGTCACTTAAAATCCGTCCAAACGCTGTCGCTTTCCTAACGATGAGAGTGTCACTCTGTTTGCTGAGGTATAGGTTCCCTAGAAAAATTTACCATTCGCATCTTGAGATCTGTGCAGAGGCGAGCGAAGTTGTACAGCCAGTCGGTAACTTCCTCACTTGAGTCGGCGATCGCTTTAGCACATTCGATGAGGTCCTGCAATGAAAAAGCTTTGTTTGTCTATCAAAAAACCGCACTTGTAGCTGCTCCAAGGATCAACAACGGATCAGGGGAATGTAAAATTAATTCCGGTGTATGCTATACGAAGTTATTACGAGTGCTGATTCACACCATTTTTGTGCAATAATTCAACAACAGAAAAGGGGAACACAATTCCGTGTTCTGAAATTTCGTTCTTGATTTTTGGTATGTGACTTTTGCCCTAGGTCGTGGCTGCTGAAAAAGGTTCGGAAACAAAAGCATCGGAAAATATTTCCTCGAAAATTTCCCTGCAATGCTGGACTCACTGATGGCAAACTTTCA